TTATTCTTCTATATCTACTGTATCTCCAATGCTTTATTTTGTACAATTTCACATTAGAAGCACTTGTATTGCTCATGTACTACAACAGGAGAGTAGAAATCCTCTTCTGAAATGGCTGAACCTTTTGAAGTTGAAGCCAGACTTGGAGTCCTATGGGTTATCACCCAGCGGCAGCAGCGCTCATTGAAAACAGATATATGACCATTCAGAGACCGATGTGTGGGCGGAAGCGGAACGGGACAACGGAAGAATAATGTGAGGGTACGGAGTAGTGGGGGCATAAAACTTAATGTTTTTCTTCCTGTGGGTGGAAAATAAGGCACACTGGTGCTCTTTTGTGTGTGTTGTTGTACATCAGTGCCAATATATCACTGCTTCCTTCACCCATTTCTTTGGATTCAGAAAACTCAAAACTATAGAAATAAACAAAATGAGCAAAGGTTAATCTGATAACTGGGGACAATCATGAGCTCAACCATCTTAGTTTTTTAATTATAACAAAACACACATATATATATATATATATATATATATATATATATATATATATATATATATATATATATATATATATATATATATATATATATATTAGTGCTGTCAATCGATTACATTTTTTAATCGCGATTAATCGCATCAATGCCTGAGTTAACTTGCGATTAATCGCATTTTAATCGCACATTTTTTTCCTGATTGAAAATCATTTAAATACTCTCGATGACATACAAAAAAATACATACAGACTAGGTTTGTGCCAATGTTCTTTTTTTAAAATGAAAACAGGTCACAGATACTGATTTATGCCATAGAAACATATGGCAAGAAGATGGGGAGGCATGTAGCAAAAAATAACAAATATGTAGCCAAAAAAAAAGGCCCTGAAAACAGGCTGATGTAAAAGACAGTCTTTACAGTTAATACAGTCTTTTGAACAAAGACAAGCATTTTACCCTACTGCTATAAAATGTAGTACAGTTAACATTAGATGTTAATTAACCAAGATAATAATGAACAATTTTCAATCAATACATCAAAATCAATAGACCGACATCACTAGATGAAGGTAGTCTATGCTCTAGAAAGTTACTTTTCAGCCTCTTAACCAAAATGAGAACACACACACACCCACTCACCCACACACAGACACACCCACCCACACACACACACACACACACACACACACACACACACACACACACACACACACACACACACACACACACACACGATACCGACCTGTGGCGTACACAGACGGCAAGAGTGCTGCTACGAGATTCCATTTCACCTCAGTAATCAGTTTTCTCAGCGTATTTCAGGTTGCTACTAGTTACCAGACACTCAACTTGTTTGTTGGTGGTGGGGCTTAAAGAAAAGGCACTAGCGCTACCCAGTGTATGAGCGTCTTTTTCCCTTGAGGAGCTCCGCTCTTGAAGCCTATGAGAAATGCATACACTGGGGGAAAATAGCCCCGCCTTTCCGCAGGCTGCAGCGGGATGTACTTGGAAAATTGTACCATAAAACCACATAGCGTTAATCTCACGTTAAAAAAATTATCGCCGTTAAAATGGCCTCGCGTTAACGCGTTAATAACGCGATAATTTTGACAGCACTAATATATATATATATATATATATATATATATATATATATATATATATATATATATGTGTGTAAATATCACTCTCTCTGTGAACATTAACCTGAGATACCCTGCAATCTTATGTGTCGTCACAAAGGATGACTAGGTCAGTCCTTTATGTATTTAAAATGCAATGTTCCTACATGTAGATATTCTCTACTGACTCTGCTTATGATAAATTATCATCTCCCCACCTAATGTCCCTTCTTGCTTCAACAGCCTGCTCTCAAGGCACTCATTACTCGGCATACAAGCTAGATTCTTTACATGCCTCAGGCTCTTCTGAGAGTGCTCCAGGACCTCTGGTGAACCCAGCAGATCTCAGTAAAATCGTGAAAAAAGCCAGGAAGATTCTGGACAATACCCTGATAACACACTCTCCCACAGCCTGGAGAGTCCCTATCTCTACAGCTTCATGAAAACTTTATGCTGCTGATCTCTTCAGACTAAAACAAGAAGAGCCCATTTGACCAACAGGAAATCTAATATCTCTGCACAAGCATCACAAGCGACACAAAAAAAATATGAAGGAAAAGTGAAATCCAGATAGTTTTTAGCATAGCTGTCATAAATAATATGAAGTATCCTGACTCATTTTTTTCTGCTTCTTTTTCCTAAGACAGGAAATTATTCACTAGAAAAGCCATTGTTAGAAGACTGCAGCTCCACCTTTGTCAATTTTACACTAGACTTGAGGTAGGAGGAAATATAGTTTTTACTTTTTTTACTTTTAGCTTTACTTTATATATTTGACAAAATGTGTTTTAGACTTAGTTTTATACACACACTGTAGAACTGAACCAATATATCAATTGCTAACTGAATTGGTTTATTCTCTAATTATTTCCAAACTGTGAATTAAAAACAACAACACCTTAAAACCATGACAGCATGGCGATTCTTTAAAGCCCTTTGTCTATTTATTTTTTTAACTTTATTGATCTCACTTTAGAGAAATTTACCTCTGGATTTAATGCATCCCCTTGGGGATGCGCACTTGTGGGGAACTTGTGGGGTTAAGGGTCTCAAAGACCTAGAGAGGCAGTCTGTGGGAATGGGGCTCGTCCCCAAACCTCTGGATTCCAGGTACTATGTCCTAACCACTAGGCCAACACTTCCCTTAAAAATGAACTCTCTGCATTTAACCCATTCCCTTGGGAAGCAGTGGGCTGCCGTTGTGCGGTGCCCAGGGAGCAGTGTGGGGTTAAGGGTCTTTTGTTCTTGGGGACCCAGAATGGCAGTCCAAGGGAGTGGGGCTCAACTCAGAACCTCTGGATTCCAAGCGCAGTGCCCTAACCACTAAGACGCCACTCCTTATGTCTAATATTTAAATTTCATCTGAACCTTAATATAATTTTACCGGTACATGTCAATTATTGAATTTTACCAGTCCACAATTTATGAACAACCAAACATATTCTACCTAAATTTAAAGCTCTCTTGAGTCCCAGATAAGTACAAAAAATAAACTTATAAATAAATAAAATAAACTTTCTATGATTTTAAAGTGGGTATGAATACAATGTCCATCCTTGACAGGGTCGCTGTGGGGCTGGTACCTATCTCTGGCAGTCTATGGGGCGAGAGGCAGGGTACACCCTGAAAAAGTCTCCAGTCTGTCACAGCAATTATTAAGTCAAAAAAAAAAAAAAATGTAAAAAACAGCTGTTTGTAATGTCACTGAGGGGAATGTTAATTATCGCCAACAGTCTTTGGGCAAAAGGTGGGAAAGAGCTGCCATTTTAATCCTGGAGAGGTTGCTAACCCATTACAAAGATAAACAGGACAAACTATATTGTGAACACACCAACAAATAAGGGCAATTTAGAGACACAAATCCACCTAACATTAGTATTTTTAGACTGTTTGAGGAAGTCAGAGTACCTGACAATAACCAATTCATGTACAACAAGAACACCAAATGTTATGCAAAAAGACCCGAGGCAGGAGTTTAAACTGAAGACCTTCTTGCTGCAAAGCGCTCGTCCAACTAACTGAACAATTATGCACGTATTTTGACACGTATATTTGTGCTCTACAAATCTAAATGAAAAAAAGTAAAACCAAACAGTTAATTTGTTTCTCTTATTGCTTGATTAGTAAGTTCTGGGAAGCAAAATTTAATTTCTAAACTTATTCACACCATGTATGCAGTACCTTGCACAGCAGAAAACAATGAATTGAAGTGATTTGACCTCAGAAGATAACTTTTTCTTTTCAAAACAAAAAGTCATTATGACAGTTTTCTTGTGGTGTCACTACTTTTTCTTGAGACATAGCAAGGGCAGAACCTTTACCTAATCTGGCATTTAAGAACTGGATTTTTTTTCAGGAATTAGTGATGCATCTGATCTACAAAGGTGTCTGTAAAAAAATAGCCAATGAGAATATATTTCCATTTTATACATGGAGCACATTTTTTCTAAAAAAAAAAAAAAATACAATTTAAAAGAGACTCTTATAGGAAAAGGTCAGACCTTTTTAAGTGGAGCTTTGGTAAAGAGCTTAGGAGCAGTCACATCTTATCCGCAGTAGGTAACTCTCTTTGTGCCTCGATTTTAAAGAAACAGAAGAGACAAGCCGGTCTGAACTGGTAACAGACAAAGGATTATTTCTGCTATCTGAAAATAGTATCAATATTAATAATTTTGTTGCACCTGTTGCAATAGGTAATTTTAAACTTTGGCCATATTAGCATTAGATGGATATTTAATTATAAAAAAAAATGAGGAAGTGAATGGCCCATAACAAATCTTCTTATGTAAAATACAAACAGCAAAACTGAATCTGCTGGCAGCATCCAGCCTGATAAAGACCTGTACAGCAGCAAATCTGCAAACACCCATTTTTCTCACCCTGAGGGGCAGGAAAACATGACCTGATTCATTTTTAGCAACTACTGTTTCTGATTTCTTCCAGCTTGCTCTTTTTGAATTTCTTTTCATGAAGTATTCAACACCTATTTCGTTTTTTCTTTACAAAGCATGTTATTTTAATTGCGCTAATTGCCAACATGAGGTGCTTTTTTTGTTGAGAATAATAATAAAAAAGAAAAAACCTTCTCTCTTACGAGCTCAGTGTGGCATTACCTATGATCTTTATACAAGTGATAATTGACTGTAGAAATTTTAAAATATCATATTTTAAATGCTGTGTGTGATGGTTTGGCTACCATCAGTAGCTAAAAGATTTACAAAAGCCAGAAGTGGAAAAAGAAATAACCATAAATCCTGATTCAAGTCCAACAAAAACACCAAACCGCTTCAAACGTGTTTTATCATCCTTCAAATGTTTTGCCTCTATAAATCTCTATAAAAAACAACAACACTGAGATTAAAAAGAAGACTTGAGGAAAACTGACCTCTCTCACAGGTACTGTCCCAGAAGCCTGTTCCAGTGCAGTCACAGATGAACCGGTTCCATCCCTCCTTACACACCCCACTGTTCTTGCAGGGGCTGCTGTCGCACTGCTTCCCTGTCATCTTGCTGCACGATGACTTGATGCCCGTTGCGTTCTGTGACTGAGCTATCTGCCGGATGTCCTTGCTCCGTCCATCAATGAACAGGTCCCGGATGCAGCCTACATAACCATAGTCCAGCATAGCGGTCCAGAGCTCTGTTGGAAGCACCAAACCCACCCGGCTGTCGGGCAGACCTCCCAAATAAAGATCCCCTTCCAAGTCCAGGATCTCGTTTTCACCACTGGCTGTGAAAGGAGTCCTGCGGCTGTTTACAGAGATGATGCCTGAGAGGGAAAGAGAATTAATTATTAGGTTCAGGAATGGAACATTTACCCACTTTTGATGGATTTCTTCTTAAATCAAGTGTTGCCTGCCATAGTAATCTGCTTCCTAAACCAACAGCTGTTGCTACGATGCCTCTGGTGATTTCACATAAGCCAGAGTTAATTTAAACATGTCCAGTTGTGTCTGTTTCCTTTCCTTTAATTGCATCTGACTAATTAAATTCCCCCTTCAAAAGTTTTTAGTTGTATCTGTGCGACTGGAGAAAGATTTTTGAAAATGTGTGAGACGGCACCGATTTTAGAAGAATTCAGACATTCAGTAATGGAATTTGTGAGAGTCAGATTCAATTTAACAAGCCAAGTAGGTCTGGCCTTAAGGTAACTAACTTATAGATGGAAAGATATTTGTCCCCTGATCTTTTCATAGGTGTGCTAAATTAGCGATTCCAACAGTAACAGCAAGTTTTATGGACCCAGAGAATCCAATGCAGGCCCTGACCATCACACTAACCACACCAAGTCTGACTGATGATATGTTTATTTTTTCCCTCTTGAATTCTTTTTAAAAAGAAGTATAATGTGTGATTTTTATTTTTTTTTTACCCCACTTCATTTCGTCATACAGATCATATCTAAGTGACTTTTTGGTTCAACTTTTTGGAATTAAATTTAATTGGGTTCTGGGTAGTAAAATCCCAGCTTTAACAGTAGATAATCAGCTTTTATAAAATATGGGTATTCAGAGTGAATGTATGATTTAACAATTGGTGCACTTATTCATTGACTTGAGGCCAGCTTATATATATATATATAAAATCATAATTTGAAATCATTTACATGTATTTAATGAGATTATTTTATCTGGTGTTAAAATTTGCTTTATAAACCCAAGAACTCAAGTATGACAAATAAGTGGAACCAGAAAAAAATCTGTTAATTGACAAATGCATGTTCATTGTTCTGTAGTGGCTTACAATATCAATAATTTTACAGTGAATTTTCAAATCTAATTGCTACCTTAAATATTTTAACAGTTTTCTTAAAGACACCGATGTATTATTCAGAAGGCTGACTCTACTCGTATCACATAATATCCTATATATTTGATATCTTCTTCAGCCTCCGCTAAGGTCAAAAACATATTGTATAGAAGGTAAAAAGGATCCCTTTTCCCTCATGGCTCAGCTTATGCTCACATAAAAACTCTGAAATATGAGTTCCTAAATATTATGTTATTTTAATCTTGCAGCCCAGCAGAAATCCTGGCTCTTTGTGGACGTGAAATTTAATTCACCCAGACTCCTTATTAACATTTCACTCATGCCACAAGTGTGATTATGCCTGTTCTTAACCATCTTTCAGTCTGGTATCCATTTATCTGTCTCATTCCTCTTTTTCCCTGCAAAGAAATCCAACTTTCTGCTCCACTATCGCACTCTGGGGCTGTGCCGGTGATTAATCAAAGCAGCTAGCTCTGACACACGGCTAAATTGGCTGCTCCAACCTGATATATAACACGGCAACTAAAACAAGCGCGTTCTCTGGAGGATCTCACCTAATGCAGAGATTGTATAGAGACCAGAGCTTAAGGCAAAATAAGTTTCTAAGCCCTTTTACCAATGTAATCTTCTTCAACATTTTATGTGTATTCAGCCATGTTTTGAAATCAGAGAAACTACACATAGGTTAAATAAATGTCCTGGCCTCTGTGCAAAAGAATATCCCAAATGTATTTACTAGTGGTTGGGCATTTTGCTATTATTATGTCTGAGAGATTATTGTTTGTTGGTTAGGTGTCAGACGGTAGGGGTAGAGATGGTTGAACAAAGTGAATCATATTATTATTAACAAATCCCAAAATACTTTAAGACTTTTGTTTAGGGTGTTTTCACAGATAGTTAATTGTGACCAAACTTAGTGTCAGTATAAAAAATGTCATAACAACAGGCCTCTCTAAAAAAGGTTTGATTAGTATTAATCTGTTATAAAATGGGGTGTTCTTAAAATCATTATCAAATCATCTTATCAACATTTTAAACAGAAGCATGCAACCATATTTGCATTCTATTACAATGGATTCACATGTAGGAGAGGTTCTGCTAAGAGTATGAACCCATTATGTAAGCCATAAAAAGGCTTTAAAGTGAGATGGAAATAAGCACAGGCACCTGTTTCTGTTGAGAACAAAGAATTGCATTTCTAGCAGGGCACATAATGTGAGTGGAAAGCTAGATGTTGCTTTGTGAGAACAAAGTGGGTAAAAAAGAACAAACCTAATATTAAGAGATTAACTTCAGAGCTTTCAATGTTTGTGATATTCAGAAAATGTAAGAGGAAAATGTGACCATCGATTGTGCCCTGTATCGTACCAAGAAAAAAAAAAATTCTCATACATTCTATAAGTGGGATTGCTCTCATTCAAGGGTATGGGTTTGCTAAGCATTCTCCCAAAGAACAAAAACATTGGGATCATTCTGCCCCTTAAGATAATTTGTGATCATCTGTGCATTTTCCAGCATCATGAGAAAAGCTGAAAAATTGCTCTTGGGAGCAAAAACAAAAAGAGAAACAGAAAGTGGAGACAACAGGCTTTCTGTGCCTCTCTTAGAATCGTAGCTAATTAGAGTTGAAAACTTTTACAAATAGTGGCCAGACTTAAGCCCCATTTACACTAACTTTTAGAAACTGTGCCGAGAGCGGTCCTATCACGGTAGCCGAGAGAACTGTTGAGCATAAATAAAACTGGACCGTGCCAGACACAACCAGACCATGCTGAATCTAGTACTAGTTCGACCTTTGTCGGGTATTAATGACGTTCAGACACAGGTGGCATTTGAAATGATCAGGTTCGTATCGGATTCAGGACCACATAGCCAAGTGGCCTGCTTCGGATTGGAAAAAATCGGATCTGTGTTGTTCAGACTGGCATGAAAAGATCAGATCCAGGTCGTATATGGGCAAAAAAATCGGACTTGGGTCACTTCAGGCTGCAGTGTGAACGTAGCCAAAGAGCGCTTGAGCAGAACGCATCATCTCCTTACAGTCAGCTCCCAGTAATTGGCGGTAATGCACATCAGTAAGTTTTTGACCACCCGCCATAAAACAGAAGAAGAGCTGTAAACAACAATCAAAATCTTCTCAACACTATATTTTATAAAATGGCTTCAGAAGAGTGTGAGTGTGGGATGACGAGGAGACTTAGGCTCTTATTGCACTTCTTCGACTGACTCTCGGCAAACAACGAAATATCACAATTATAACCGAACATAACTTCTTCAATCTTACAGACACTGCCATTTTGATATGCTCGATTCCCTCCTTCAATCCTAGCAGTAGTGCCATAGATCACCACTAGTGGGCAAAGAACCATGCTAGCGTGATGTGTAAATGGTCGTAAGGAACCAAGCTCAGCACGTTTAACCGATCCAAGCTCAGTCCGAACTCGTCATTAGTTCACCTTAGTCCCACTCCCTTGATTTCTCCATCCTTACCAGAGCGACCATCCCTTTGGATGTCTACGTGGTGCCACACCCCATCATTGACTTTAGCCTGGGTGGCCTTAACTTTGATTGTTCCAGAGCCCATGTCCAGAAGCAGGTACAGCCCTCCATCCAGCAGCTCCACCGCAAAGAAGTCCACCTTGTTGTTCTTCTGCCCCTTCACATCACGTCGGTTCTGAGGTTTGCCATGGGTGAAGAGTATTAATCCATTGGGCTCTGAAGTGCGGAAGTCAAAGGAGATGGAGCCGACGCGTTTGGTGTTCCACTTCGGCAGGGCGAGAAAGGAGTCAGGGGTCTCGAAATTGATGGGGTCTAGTGTGGGAACATTTTCACACTTGAAAACCACATCGCCCTGGAGTTTCATCTTAGGGTCAACAATGCGGGCCAGGCGGGAGAGCTCCAGACGGATATCGTTGTTCTTGTACACTACCTGAGGATGGAAGAGAAAAAACAAAAGAGAAACTTAAAAGGTTGAAAGATGCACAGCAAGCAAAGAGAATATTGTCAGTCTCAAGCTTATGTTCCAGTATTTTCCTTTGATAATCTACTGTAGTGTGGTCATGAATGAAAATCTAATCTTTCTCAATAAGTGAATTGAACTCCATTTGCAAACTGTGATATCATGGACTCCCGCTCTGGTATTATTGCATGTTGTAGATGCGAGGACAGCTGGATCGATAAAACTAATATCTTCAAGGATTTGTTTGTCTCAATGATTTTCTATTCCAGCTTCAATTTATTCAAGATTGAAAAGGAGATTGTAAACAAATGCAGAAGTGCATTTCTGTTCGATTGAACATCTACTGAGTGAATGAAAAGCAAAAAGTGATGGCTAAATTATTGGTGAGCCATTCATTGCAAAGCCTAAACAGAAAACGAAAAAAAGAGAGCTAGAGAATTGAAAGTGAGAGCCCACGGGAGATTCATGACTTTGAGAGAATATTGCTGTTTACTTCCAATTAATTTACACCAACCTGATAATAATTCAGGAAAGAAATCACCATCACATGCAAGTCAAATACAACAAAACACCACAGTAGAAAGAGAGAAAAATAGCATTAAATTGGAATCCACTGATGCAAAAAATGAATTTTTTTTTCTCCTTTTTCTCAGAAAGAAGTCAGGCTTTTTCCGGTATGTAGGGCAGAGTTTGTACAGGAAGCAACAACACTGTTAGTAGGAACACAGCTGTCAGCAAACAGATTTTACTGCTGTGGGATTACAGATAATCCTGGAAGATTTGACATTAGATCATCACAGGTGACCCCAGCCATAAGGAGGGTTCATGAACCATGAGGCAAGCAGAGACATTGGAAGAATGGAAGAAGAAGAGGTCAGCAAAATGGAAGGATCTCAAAGATAGAAGCAGGTAATTCATAACAATTTCAAAACTCTTTCTATACTGACATGTATATGAAATTACCAGTGGAAGGTCAAATGATTTTCTGTTTTTATTTCAGCCACAGAATGGACTTAAACATAGTTCACAGTTTTCCAGGGTTTAGGTTGAGTCTTTCAAAAGGGTAAGTGTTTAGAACCTTCATCTTGCTAAGACTCCACTCCCTCCAAGTTTGAACAGAGTTGGCCAAAACTCCCTCGCAAAGACAAATAGATTATAGATTAGGATGTTTCAGTAAAAGCCAGAAAGCACATGTCTACCATTAACAGTAAACTACAGAAACAGAAATTTAGTATAAGCATTTACTGATGGGGTGCCAGCTAAGAAACAAACACACTGTACTACGGAGCAAAAGTATTCAAGTGCAACGTAAATCCTAAACTGTCCCAATCAACAATCTAAATTCCCTCTAGAGAAATATTTCACTGTAAATCAAAGGTTGAGCTTCTTGGCTAAAACGTGACAGCAAACTTTTACACTTGTTAAAGGAAGTTTTTTTTATGACAATTGTAACAGCTGTATTGTTATTGGGAGATGCAGTATGTTGAGGGGCTTTGTAGATACACATGGTAATAGTACATTGCACAGAACTACAATAATTATAAAAAGAAAAATTATTTTTTACTGTGCTTCAAATTTACAGGTAAGTATTTAGATCTTGGATAGTTCTGGGGAATCCAGCAGGTTCCAACATTCATCACAACTGGCTTTGGAATAACTTAACATATTTATCTTCATAATCAATAAGCTTTTGGCATATTTTCCAGACTCTCCCCACATGATAAATAGGAAATATAGGGTTAAAGTGTGAAGACTGCAGGTTGATACAAAATGGGCGTGGTTTCCATAAAACAAGCCTAAAGACATTTAGAATATCACAGGGGTGTATATGAATATAGGAACTTGTTTGTGTAATTGTGATCTTGTGTGGATTCCTTACTTTTGTCTTCAGTTTTTGGCTTTTTGATGCAATAAAAAATAAATGTTTTTTTGTATATAATCATTCTACTCTGGATATTAATGTTATTATATAAAGAAAAAAAGGTTGTTTTTTAGTTTATAATTTTATTAACAACAAAATTACATTCTTCTTTGTCAGACACATCATGTGAAGTTTGCTGTCAGTACAGCTTTTAAAAGCAATTTTTTGAAACGTGCCTCTTTACTATGTTTTCTAGGAAATAACAGGTGCCCTGGGAGCCCATATTTTAGGCAATGCTTCTACTACAACATGCATTTTTTTTTCAAAACAATTAAACTAAATTAAAAAGAGAAGCAGCTGAATTTTAAAGAAACCTACACATACTTTGATTTTACGCTCTAGCTCTAGATTTTAAGCCTTAATCCAAAGGCTTTTGGAATATATTATGGCGCCCTGTTAGCATGGTGAATTTTATTTTTTTGTATTTTTACCATTTGCTATTTCATAGTAAACATACATTTTCGGAGTATTGATCATAACAAAATCAATATTACCAGAGGTACGATATTGCACGCTCGCAGTTAGTAAACAAGGAATTAAACAGAACAACCCAGTTCATGACACCAAACATCGTCGATGTTCTTTTAAAACACACCAGTAAGATCTGGATGCAGACACCAACTTCAGATCAAGCAATCCTTTTTACATCTGTTCTATCATAGAGTTTGGATGAAACTATTAAAGTCTGTACACCAGTAACCGTCTCTGGTACAGTCTGTGTTCTCTTTCAGTGCTGTGGTTTGTGAAAAAAACTGCATCTAAAGAAAGCCAGAAATTGTTGTTCTTAGCCCAGGTAGCCTGAAACCTAGGAATGTCTGATGACACTACATTGGTGACACAGCCGTAGATGCAAAAGCAAGTTCAACATGGCTTACAATAGTCGATACAGTGAGAGACTCCCATAGAAGAAGAATAAAAAATCCCGTTGATTTTCAGAGGTTTAACAGGCAACAACTCAGAGAACTACTACAGTGTGGTTGCGATACAGAGGGTGCAGTTAAACATGTAAGAGCAACAGGTATTAGAAGATGACCCAATAACTAAGCTGTGAATGTGACCAAAGGGACAGCAACAAAGAAAGCTGTAGGTTCCACAGGCTTAGTGTTTTAATAGGCGTCTGAACACACCTCTGACAGTGTACCAAAGGTAATGTCTGGATTTTTATAAAGGAAAATTCCAACAGCTGAAGATGTTGCTGAGTGCTAGAGGGGGTCTAGAGCCTTTTAGCAATCACAGAAGTAGAACAAATAAATGAATGAAAAAAAAAACAGCACTTTTGCCTTTTCCTGCTTATTTTATCTTAAAATAGATTAACTTCATCTGCAAGATATCATATCAAATCTGATTTTGTTTTTGACTCGCTCCATAGAATTCTGTCTCTGCAATTGTCTTTAAAACACTACAGTCGCTGTGCTGCAGGAGTCTTTCAGGATTTGTTCCTTGTAAATTTTAGTAGATCCTTAGTGACAACTAAAAACCTCCAACACTAAACCTTGTGCAATCGAACAACAGTGTAGTTATGCTTAATAAGTCAACAACAAACATTTGAAACTTTTCAAAATGCAAATATTTATGGAAAATACTGTTTTTTCAAGGTGCCATTTTGTAACATCAGAGCTTGTCTATGAAATTGCAAGACCTTGGTATCAAAAAAAGTTTCTTACCCTGACATTTATCTCAGCGTACATAAACAGTTAATGGAGCCTAGGCGGAAGTTCAACTGAAGAAACTCATAGCTCTCCTACATCCACCTATGACACAGCCAATCAGCTTTGAACTACACCTCCACGAAAGCCAATCAGCATCCAAAGTTAATCTTAAAAGGCCTCAGATCTGAAACTTGTCTGCTCCTGTGCGCAGGTGGTGGTTGTGCTGTGTGACTTCATTCAGATTACTTTGTTTCAACCGACCTCCAGCCCCTCCTCCACCATCGTAGCTAAAGCTTCATCAGAGTGTCATTACTTCCGGACTCTTACTGCGTTCCCTGTCTCATCTCAACCGGTCCGACAGAAGGACGCCATGTTGAGCCTGGTTCTACCAGAGGTTTCTTTCCAACGGGGAGCTTTTCCTCTCCACTGTTGCTTCTTGCTTGCTCATCATGGACAGGTTCTCTCAACCTGTGATATCCAAACTGGACTTCCATCTTCCAGGTCCCTGAGTGAAGCTCTAGTATATGCTCCACTGGATCTCCCCATAAAGCTCAGCGTACTGTGTCGCTAACCAGCAGTCTAATCTCCATTCCAACACCAGTTTCAGGCCTGGGAGGAAACAGCCCTATTCATTGCTCCTGTTCATGCATATCTATCAAAAATAAGCTCAATGTTTCCTGCCGAGGTCTGAGCGCCAAAGACAAAGTAATTGGGTAAAAACATTTCTTCTAATTGTCTTTTCTCTTCGTGTGAGTTTTTCAGATTGAAATAATTGAAGCCAGGTTTATTTAATTTTAACACATATTCAGGATCATTTTTTAGACAACAAGCTTGTACAAGCTACATGAAATCTGATTTTGGTTCCTAAAACACAGTGAAAACAGCTGAAAGAGAAGCAGCGTGGGTAGACTGGCTAGTCCAACTTTGAATGAAGCACCCATGTTGATATTTATTCTATCAACCAAATATATCAGTCATAATGTAAAAATCAGTCAATCCGTATTTCTAATTTTACATATCCGTTTTTAAGTGAAACATTTAAATATTTTACGTAAATATGCCTTTCTTTTTTTCCTGAAAATTATTGCACTCTGAAATGAAATCATATTACAAATTGTAGTAAAATAAAACAACACGGAATAATAGAATGGATTAAAAAACACATTCTGTATTGGATTAAAATATACTCTAAACATCTATTCATGAACACAGCCACCCTTTGCAGACACAACTCAGCAAATTTTGTTGCTTTCTTTAAACAAAGAAATCAGATATTCTTCCAGAAGTTATTTCTAAATTTGTGGAGTCTGGGGAATGTACTGGTCCCTCCATGTTTTTTAGCGTATCAACTGTTTTGTTTTTCCCTGAGGCAGTTCTGTCACAGCTTGGACTTATATATT